AGGCATGGAACTAAAGTGAAAACTGAAGACAAGCTTAGATCTCTAGTTGGTCTCTCTTTGACACAGGGTCACAATCCCTCTCTACTCCTCCTCCAGCAGAAATCTGGAATTTACATTCTTTGGAGAGAATACAATAGGCGCTTTGGACTGGGAGAAATGTTACAGCTTGAGGCAATAAGAGTAGCAAGAATAAGGGAAGAAAATGCTAATTGCTAAGTTCTAAAAATTATCAAGAAACCACTTTCATCCTCATCCTCCTGACAAATCAAATATTCAATTCAGCTTAACTCCATAAGGCCTCCCTCTCCCTCACACCACAAGAGGAGATTGCCACTTTCTTGAAGATCTGACATGCCTCAAAAGAAGTAATGTTGTTAATTAATCAGACTTCCCTAAAAAGAAAGAAGCCCACCCATATCACCTTATAATAAAGCTTAAAGTCAATAACCTTACCCATGCTTCTGATTTCAATTCTTTTGCTCCTTAGTACAAATGATAAGTAGAAAACTAAATATAAGCTTCTGATTAAAAGCCTCCAATGTGGAAAAGACAAAAAGACAAATAAAACTTGAGCTAATCAAAATCCTTGAAAGGAGACAGGGTAGAAACCTATCTTAGAAAGCTATCATTTTCTTCTGATGAATTAAAAAAATCATGACATAAGAAAGTTCTGCAAAAGAAATATGCAGGGTGTGACAAAGAAGTCTCTTTGTTTTCCAAGGAGATCAGAAAAGCAGACGGACTTTTGAAGCTGCTTGTCTGTGGCTCTGTTAAGAGATTGCCTGCTTGCCTGCTGTGGGGTGGGAATTCTAGGAGGGAAAAGCACACTAACTCATTAAATGGATAATTATTCTACCATCTCTTTAGGGTAGCTTAAGGTGAGCCCTCTTTTGAATCGCATAAATGTGCTATTCAAAAGGTTAACTCTGATCTAAAACAGTAGCCTCTCCCCTCTCCAAAATAAACATTTTAGGAGCAGACAGTAGTAAAAAGTATAAGTGAACTAAAGCAACAAAATATTTTTTCAGATACACTTTTCTCCAGGAATAGTTAAGAAAATAATGAAAGCACTTATTCTGGCTTAGGAGAAGATATAAGAGATTTAGTCCAGTACTGGTTCATTTTCAAAGGAAACTTGAAGTCTAGGGTTATTCAAGGCCTTGGAGATATTCCTAAGGTAAAAATGACAAGGTAAAAGTGGCAAGTCCTTTGCTCTCCCCAGACAGCAAGCTCTGCACTGGGTTTCCTCTAACTACTTATTTCTGTCTGCCCTTCACACTGCTCTTAAATGGAAACTGTACTACGTTACCTGCAAATACATCACAGGACTCTCATACAGACCTAACCACCAAGTTCAGACAATCTTTCTTTCCTTTGGCTATTTTAGAGTGACAAAGATACATTCCTCAAGTAAGAACTGCAGAGTTCATGCCACACCAAGGCTCTACTAAGAATAAATTCATGATATCAGCTGAGGTTGGAATCAAACACTGGCTTCTAAGTAAAATGGGAGCTCATATCCACTCTTTCCTGAATTACCAACAAAACAGAGATATTTCAAAAGGTTCAAGGAAGAACTGCTTTGCTTCTTTTAAAGGTGTTTTGTGAAGTTTTTTAAAAAAATGTTTTAGGTAAGTCTAAAAGGGGAAAAGGAAAATACAAAAAGAGAAAAAAAGGAAGGAAAGGAGGGAGAGAAAGAGAGGGAAGAAGGAAGAAAAGAAGGAAGGAAGGAAGGAAGGAAGGAAGGAAAGAAGGAAGGAAGGAAGGAAGTCATGTTACCCACATCCAATCCTACTTTACTTATCTTCTAGGCCTTTTTTTTTTTTAAGATACTGCATCATCCCTAGCAGCTGTTATAGTAGGTAAAACGCCTACACGTCTCAGCTTTTTCAAAGGACAGCCAATTTGACAGGCTTACCTAGACATGTGATCTACAGGGAGGAATGGATCCTCAGCTGTTAGGGAACCCACACTGGGGGAACCTACACTGGACTTCCACAGCTTCTCTAACACCACTTGGAGATCAGATGGGAGATAAGCTGTTAAGAGAATGCCTGGCCATAGTCCTGCTACCAGAAAAGGAAGAAAATTATAACAATTGCTAAGAATTATAAACTTCTGAAGAAATAATCTTAATTGACAAGAGAGAAAGGCTTCTCAAAAAAACCAAGGAATTATATGCACGCCTACATAAAGACTCAGTCTAATTCCCATTCAATAAAAGAGTCTTTCTGTAGCACCTGTGACACATGAGCATACCAGAACTACGGTGGTATCCAGACAGAACAGCCAGACGTCTAGACAGGAGTTCTGTTAAGGTAAACAAGTCTGCTGAACTGTTCAACTAGAGTGATGGATGCAAGAACTCAAAGTTGAGTGAGTTTGGTGTTAAGTTCAGATTCTACAAGACTGGCTTTTATGAGAGAAAAACAGGCAAGAGGTGGGAGTTTAGCTAGTTGGAACATATTTAAAGTCAACAAATCTACTTGAAAACCTATAGGCACCTGAATTGACAAGCCAAGTTCACAAATCAAAAGTATCTGTACAGGTAAGAAAGCAAGGGACAGGCATGCACATGGTACACAGATACACATGCAGGCAAAACACCAATATATGAAATGAAAATCCATAAGATAAAATAAAAGAAGAAAAGATTAGGTTGAAATTGAGAATGGAATCAAAGGCCATTGTTTTAAATAAAAAAAAACTGAAACAAGGTGACTACTGTCTACCACACTCCGACTTCCTGTCATACTCCGTAAATTGTGCTCCTGTCCCTGTATCTCCTTAAATGTTACAGTTCTAAACCTGTAGATGTGACCTTATAATGGATGGATATACTATCCAGGTAGATAGAACCAAATCATACAAATCTCTTTCAAGTGGATCTTACATTGGTTGCAAAAGGGAGCAAAAGAATCATCCACAGAACTCAAGAAGGTTAACAAGCCAAAGGGCCCAAGTGAGATGCCTCAATCCCACTTGGGAAGGAAAAGAAAACAATCATGGGTGTGTGGGTGTGTGCGTGTGTGTGTGCATGTGCGTGTGCATGTATGTGGAGGGAGGGACCTAGGTGGGAGAGGGAACAAGGAGGGGAAAGGGGGAACATGATCAGGTATTGGGGGGAGGAGTGAAGCCCTGAGGGCCAGCAGAATGAATGGAAATAGGCAACCTTGGGAGGTAGGAGGTGGGGGAATGTATCAGAGACCTGGGAGGTAAAAGACCCTCAGGGCTCAAAGGCAGGGACCTTAGATGAAATGCCCAACAGTGGAAAAAGGGAACTTGCAGAGTCCGTCTCCTGGCAGAAAGACAGGGCATCAAAATTGAGGGATGGGGTTGTCATCCCACAGTCAAAAACTCTGACCCAGAATTGTTTCTGTCTAAAAGAACTGCAGGGACAAAAATGGAGAAGAGACTGAGGGAAAGGAGGTCCAGGGACAGGTCCAACTTGGGATCCATCTCAAAAGGAGGCTCCGAGGCCTGACACTATTACTGATGCTATGGTGTATTTACAGACAAGAGCCTAACATGGCTGCCCTCAGAGAGGCCCAATAAGTAGCTGAAAGAGCCAGATGCAGGTATTTACACTTAACCAATGGAAGCTAGGGACCCCTGTGGTTGAATCAGGATAAGGCTGGAAGAAGCTGAGGAGGAGGGAGATCAGCAGTCTCAGCTAACCTAGACTCCCTAGCTCTCTCAACCATGCAGTATACACCAGCTGATTTGAGGTCACCAACACATAGAGCAGAGGACTGCCTGGTCTGGCCTCAGTGAGAGAAGATGCACCCAACCCTTGAGAGACTTGAGGCCTCAGGGAGTGGGGAGGTCTGGTGGGGTAGGGATGGGGGTGGGATATCCTCTTGGAGACTCCGTGGGGGGTGGGAGGGAGAAGGAATGGGATGAGGAATAGCCAGGGGGTGTACCAGGACGGGGATAACAACTGGACTGTAAAAAAATTAAAGAATAATAATTAAAAGAAAGAAAAAATCAAGAAAAGGACCCAACTGCTGGCCTTGAAAGAATAGATTTGATGTTATTGAGAACCAATAAGAAGGCACATGGGAAGGAACTGTGTATGTCTATATGACAGTCAGGAAAGGTGATGGCATATCAATCTTACAAAAATCAATTTTGCCAGCAATCTGAAGGAGGTTAGAAAAGAATATTTGTGCAGAGTCCAGCCCAACCAGCATCTTGATTTCAACCTTGTAGGGTTCTAAGTATAGAACCTAGCAACATCCATCCAGACTTCGGACCTAAAGAGCTGTGAGTGAGTACCTGAGTGCTGGTTTAAAGCCACTAGATTGTGACAATTCATTATGCAGCAATAGAAAATAAATATGATAAGATTTTGATTATTGTGAGGGTACAATGAAATAGTCTTTCTAAATTATATAAATAAGTGTTATTATCCAGTTGATATGTCTAAATAGAAATCATTATATATAACTCATCTCCTAATATTAGGCTAATTTTCTTTATTTGTGTAAAGCTGTCACAATTGTATCTTTGTTTTACTGTGTTGTAGAACTATAAAAACACATACTTCTCTGGGATAGGACATATACGGAATGGGATGTACATGTGAGGGTGTAGGTATAAATAAATCAAAGGAAGAAAGACGTTATTGAAGGTAGAGGTCCAGAAATCAAGTTCTATGGATCTAACCTCTCAGACTGTACAGTAGGTCTGATGTTAGTATGTATTGCCCAAAAGAACATGTTTGTAGCACTAATCTATCACCTAAGTTGTTTGGCTAGAGTATGGGTGCATACCAAAGTTCAAACATTTGTTTTGTGTTTTCACAGGGAAAGCTATCCGGAAGAAATGTAAGCAATTTATAAATATTCTATGATAAAATAAGCTACATAAAGAAATATTTACATAGCTTATTTCTCTCTTTTGTAATAAACTCACCCCCAAAATGCTAAATAATTAAAATACATTTTAAGCAGTTTACTACTATAATAAACTTTTAGCCAAGACACACAGACTATTACCATTCCTGATGTTTGGGAGAGCAAGATGGGTAGGTGAGCTTCTATTTTCCGTGGCTTCTTTCTTCTGGGCAACAGTGGAAACAAAGCTGCTAAAAGTGGAAATCTGGCCCTTGGATCCTCTGTCCAACCCCTAAAAACAAAGTGTTTTAAAGATTTAGATTTTATGACAGAAAGATGATGAAACTGCTATATATGCAACTGGCCAAATTATCTGAAGCATAAAAGAGCCACAGCAATCTATATATACTATATATAATAGTATACTATATATACTATATATAGTCTATATATATGACTACTTATATACTACCGGCAAGGTTTGCAAAGGGGATGGCAACAATAAGCCTATTAGTTATTATGAGGTTTAACAGAGTCTACTCATAAGATAGTTAACACCGCTTCTTGTACACAGTATGTAGTCCACCAATGTTAACCACTTTAATTAGATATTTAGATAATACTGCTTTTATAATCTAATGACTTAATAATTTATGAGTTATAAGTCGATTTACTAAAGTACTTACAGTGATGTGATTCAACTTTTAAAATGCATCTAAAATGATAAAGCATTTAGTGCTGATGTCTTCCAAAGCATTGTAATTAAATTGCCAGTATACCAGGATTTAAGAAGATGGGAACCACACCAGGACCCTTAGGTGCAGACATAGAACATGTTAAAGAAGAAACTACCCGTTAACATGTTTCCCTCTGAAACAACTCAGAAATTCCTAAAACATTTAATTAATCTGTACTTTGTAAAAATAAATATAAATTATAAAAAATAAGATAAAAATTAAGCTGCAGTGCTGACTTTAGGCCTTTTCTTAGTTCTTAGATTTTTTTTTAATTGATGTACCAGAACTTGAGGCAAGGCCTCTATATATCCCTGCTGGCTTAAAACTTGTTCATAGCTTAGTGCGTCCTTCAACACCTGCCTCAGCCTCTCCAATGCTGAGATCATAGATCTACACCACCAAACCCCACCTTTCAGTTCCCAGAACCTTGAGAAAAGCAGTTAACTTCCTAATGTATTTTGCTTACATTGTATACGTGTGCACATGCCTATGTAAATGTGTGCCATGCTGCAGAAGAGGAGGTCAGAGGGCAACCTCAGAGAATCTGCACTCTCCTTCCACCACGGAGATCCTGGTGATTGAACTCAGGTCAGCAATGTCAGTGGCAAGCATCTTTAACCAGTCAGGCATCTTTTCAGCCCAACATATACTTTTTAATCTAAAGGTAGTTTTACTTTCATAGAAGAGGTTCTTCTTCACTTCTTTATTTACTCACCAGATTGATTCCATTTACTCTTTTAGAACCAATTCATACATAATATAGCAGATATATTTTTGCTCACCAAATATTTGTGTATTCTCTCCAAATTTCCCTCCCTTTTACAGAGTCATCTGATTAACTCTGATAGGCTAGAAGTAGAAATCACATCTATCAGTTCTGGAAAGAAGTAATGATACATTTAAGATTGGTGGGGAAAATCCCAGCTCCTGCTGGTTTCCAGCGCTGTAACAATGACAAATGCTAAGAGCTGAGGTTCTGGATTGTTCATGAGCTTGGGTCTAGAGTGATGGATTATATAAAGCATAGCCACTTCTGACCCACAGGTGATATACACTAACAAAGCTTTTAGAGCTTTTAAACACTGAAATTGGGCTGTGTAACTGAAAAAACAGCTCATAATGACTCTGTTCTTTTTGTGTTTTATTTTCTGTAAAGCCAATCACTCTTGTTAAATCTTGCAATGTATTTAAACTATTCCAGAGAAAGTAAATGTCCTCATATGGGTCCATTATGCTGCACTAGAGAGTCCTTAATTCATCACAGGGCTTAACATAACCTGTGCAAGGTCCTAAATCTATTTGTGTTTTTCTTTTTAAAAGGTTATTAGTATTGGGGGTTGGAGAGTTGGCTTGGGAGTTAAGAGCACTGACTGCTTTTCCAGAGGACCTGAGTTCAATTCCCAGCAACCACATGGTGGCTCACAACCATCTGTAATGAGATCCAATGCTCTCTTCTGATGTCTGTAGACAGCTACAGTGTACTCATAAAATAAATCTTTTAAAAAGGTTATTAGTATTAAAAGAGCCAAAAGAAAATGAATTTCAGATACTATACACATAGTATTTCAAAGTGTCTGGATTTACGTGACTTTTGAAAATCAGTTAATTCCTATTTCACAAGTAAGGACAGTGGAATCACCTGAAAGTCACAAGAGTCAGCAGCTAACAAGTAACAGAAAGGTAATAGCTGGGCTGAGGAGATGGCTCAGCCATACAACAGACTTAATCTCAGAACCCACATGTTAAAAGCCAGGCATGGTAGTACATGCTTTTAATCCTAGCACTGAGGAGGTGGATACAGGCAGGTCTCTGCAATTTACTATCCAGACTCCAGGTCAATTGAGAGAGACGCTGCCTTAAAAACACTGAGGTGGAAAGTATTTGTAGAAAGTGCCTCAAAAGTTGTCCATTGACTTCCACTGCATGTGTATACACATAAACACCTGTACACAATTGAACTTGCACACAAACGTGTACCTGAACACACAAAAATATGCACACATATGCACATAGGCTTCACCCAAAATGAAATGAGACACGGATAATCTGAAGGCTATATCTCCACAAGTACATAGATGCAATTTTCTTATGTGCAATATCTTGGGCTGCTCATTGACTTTGCTATTGTTATTTGTTTTTGCAGCTCAGTGAATCTCAAGTTAACAGTTGTGTGTTAGATTTAGTGGAGACAGCACTGTGTATAAAAGTTCAATGTATCTGGGCTGAGAAGACGCTTCAGTTGGTAAAGTGCTGATGCATAAGCATGAGGACTGGGGTTTGTACCCAGATACTCAGGTGACCGGCCTGTCTAGCTGAGTGGTGAGGGGAGACCTTTTCTTAAATAATAACATGGAGAACAAATGAGGAAGTGTAGCAGGAACAGCAGGGCTGCTTCTATATGTACACAGACATATAAACATCTACATATACACAAAAAAGTTGAATAGATTATGTAACTGAAAATATAGTCTTTTAATTAATAATTTTAATATGGGAAAGGAATCAGAAGTCTCAGAATCATAGACATACATATCAAAGGTTAGAACTACAAAAGAATAATCACTCACTCAAAAAATTATTTCTGTTATAACAACATACTTGTTGGGTGGTTGTTATACCCCTACTACTATATTTGATACTTTACTACATTAAAACATTCTTATAATATAGGTGCTTGTGGTGGCTAATCTTGGTTGCCAACTTGACACATGTAGAAAAGAGAACTTCCACACTGAAGTACTGCCTCCATCAGATTGGATTACGAGCACATCTATGATGCAGTTTCTTGATTGCTAAGCGATGCAGGAAGGCTCGGCCCACTGTCAAGAGTACTATCCCTAGGCAGGAGGGATTGAGCTGTATAAGGAAAAAGCTGAACATGGGCCTGAGAACAAGCCAGTAAGACAGTTCCTCCACAGCTTCTGCTCCAAGTTCCTTCCTGTCTTCTGTTCCTAACTTTGGTTTCCATTGATGATGGACTATAAAACAAACCTCCAGTTGAACCAGCACCATTTGTTGAAAAAGCTGTCCTTTTTCCACTGGACAGTTATAGCTCCTTTGTCAAAGATCAAGTGACCATAGGTGTGTGGGTTCATTTCTGGGTCTTCAATTCTATTCCATTGATCTTCCTGCCTGTCTCTGTACCAATACCATGCACTTTTTATCACTTTTGCTCTGCAGTACATATAGCTTGAGGTCAGGGACGGTGATTTCCCCAGAAGTTTTTATTGTTGAGAATGCAAATCGATCCATTCTTATCTCCTTGTACAAAGCTCAAGTCCAAGTGGATAAAGAACCTCCACATAAAACCAGATACACTGAAACTAACAGAAGAGAAGGTAGGGAAGAACCTTGAACACTTGGGCACAGGTAAAAATTTCCTGAAGAGAACACCAATGGCTTATGTTCTAAGATCAAGAATTGACAAATGGGACCTCATAAAATTGCAAAGTTTCTGTAAGGCAAAGGACACTCTCAGTAGGACAAAATGGCAACCAACAGATTGGGAGAAGATCTTTACTAATTCCAAATCCAATAGAGGGCTAATATCCAATATATACAAAGAACTCAAGAAATTAGACTCCAGATAACCAAATAGCCTTATTAAAAATGGGGTACAGAGCTCAACAAAGAATTCTCAACTGAGGAAACTCGAATGGCTGAGAAGCACCTAAAGAAATATTTAACATCCTTAGTCATCAGGAAATGCAAATCAAAACAACCCTGAGATTCCACCTCATACCAGTCAGAATGGCTAAGATCAAAAACTCAGGTGATAGCAGATGCCGGTGAGGATGTGGAGAAAGAGGAACACTCCTCCGTTGCTGGTGAGATTGCAAGCTGGTGTAACCACTCTGGAAATCAGTCTGGCGGTTCCTCAGAAAACTGGACATAGCATTACCTGAAGACCCAGCTATACCACTCCTGGGCATATACCCAGAAGATGCTCCAACATATAACAAGGACATATGCTCCACTATGTTCATAGCAGCCTTATTTATAATAGCCAGAAGCTGGAAAGAACTCAGATGTCCTTCAGCAGAGGAACAGATACAGAAAATGTGGTACATTTATACAATGGAGCATTACTCAGCTATTAAAAACAGTGAATTTGCCGGGCAGTGGTGGCGCACGCCTTTAATCCCAGCACTTGGGAGGCAGAGGCAAGCAGATTTCTGAGTTCAAGGCCAGCCTGGTCTACAGAGTGAGTTCCAGGACAGCCAGGGCTATACAGAGAAACCCTGTCTCATAAAAACAAAACAAAAACAAAACAAAACGAACAAACAAAAAAACAGTGAATTTGAGAAATTCTTAGGCAAATTGATGGAACTAGAAAATACCATCCTGAGTGAGATAACCCAGTCACGAGAGAACACACATGGTATTCACTCACTGATTAATGGATATTAACTCAGAAGCTCGCAATACCCAATATGCAACTCACAGACCACATGAAGCTCATGAAGGAAGTGTAGGTGTTTCAATCCTTCTTAGAAGGAGTAATAAAATACTCAAGGGAGCAAATGTGGAGACAAAATGTAGGACAGAAACAGAA